AGCAGTTTTTCTTCTGATATATTTTTCAAGACTCGAAGTTAGATGACACGACCCGTTCCGAATCCCCCTAATGGACCCGATACGTGTCGTGCGCCGATGGTAGAACCAGCTAAGAGCCGAACCCACCACCAAGGCAATCTTGACTTGCTTTGACCGTGACATAATTTTATAAAAATTTTGATAGAATTCCTTCTAAAATGTGGACTAAAACCCCTGAATAAAAATCAAATTTTCTCAAACAAGCACATGTAGTTTAAAATAGGGTACACCAGCCCTCAAAGTACAAGCTGTTCAAAATGAAATGCTGGCAAATCAATATTTACTATGCTTTACATCCAAAAGTCCCCAAACACACCAAATATGCAATGAGCCCATAATAAAATTTTCTGACAAAAGCTGCATGCAACTTAAAAGAAATATGAACTAAATAAATTGACAAAATGAGTCATATAGTTAATGGCAGTGTGTGGCTAATCTCAGTGGATCCATAGGCTCCAAGTCTGCTCAGCTCCGCTAATATCTGATAGGAAAAGGAGTGGGAAAAACTATGAGCTTGCAACTCAGTGAGTGGATAGTTTTGAAAATAAATATACTTTTTCCATTTTTGAAAATCTCTGAAATATTAATTTTGCTCAGTACTATAAGCTGAGATCTTTATTCTGAAAACTGAATTATACTATAAGCTGAAATCTTTATTCTGAGAACTGAGTAAATACTGAAAAATCTGATAATTTGAAATCTGATAAGCTGTATAAATACTGAAAAATCACACCAAAAAGGTACCCGATGAATAGCCTTTCTCATGTACAGAGTAATCTCGATGTACAAGGCAAAGCCATTCAAATCTGATAATTCTGAAATTCTGTAATTCTGGTCATACGCGCGCAGAGCTATAATCTGGTCATGCACTATGGAAACACATTCACAATAGTGCAGAGCGGGTAAAATCACCATAACTGATCATACACTGTGGAAACACATTCACACCAGTGCAGATTGGGTAAAATAACCATCTGAAGTCATACACTGTGGAAACACATTCACATCAGTGCAGACGGGTAAAATCACCTGGGTACTTTCTGGTGGTTTTAAAACAACTCCAAATATACTGAAATATGTAATATGAATATAACATGCTAAAGAAATAATTAAATGAACTTAATTTAACTTTAAAATAATTGAGTATCAAATCCATTTGATTCCGAAAATCATGCTGTCTAATCAAATACAGGAAATAAATAATTTCTGATATAGTATAAATTCAATAACTATTTATTTCTGAAAAATAAGATTTTCCACTCACTGATTTATGGATAGAAATCTGATTAAATTGATGTGCCCTTCCAAGCTACCACGTCACTACCTGAAATAACTGTTACATATAATTACTCAAATTAAAATCGGACAATTAACTTAATACAATCCATCACTTAACTTCTCAACTTCTTATTTACTATTACATCTCCAACTTTCACAACTTCCTCTCTTAAATTATTTACCCACAAATCACCACATGATCAAATCCATTAAATCACTATACTTTCATAAATCATTATTTTCTTCATATACAACATCTATTCATAATTTAATCCAATGCCTAAACTTTAATATTTATCATATGACTTCATCCAAACTTTGAAAATCTGAAAATCAAAAATTTGACAAAAACAGCACCACATCTCCAAAATATTGAAATCTGGCACCTGTTTGTGCATCTAGAAAGCTGTCATCAAAATAATTGACAGAATTAGCACTTTTCTGGGCAGAATTTCAAAAATAGCACCATTGTATTCCAATTGCTAGAAATTAGCTTAAAATTGCTTAAAGATGGAGAAATCAACCTCAAATCCTTAGTTTAATTGTTTAGCATCATGTAATCACAAGAATTTCAAAGAATATGTCTTCATCTCACAAACCCATTTACAAAGTTCCACTTTCTTCATCATCAATATTCAAATAACCATTTCTTTGTATATTCATAGTTATCACCTTATATACATATATTCTTGATAAACTTTGAATTAAAGCAAATTTCCCATAAACCTTAGAAAATAAGTCAACATACTTACCCCTCTAAATCACATGAAAATTGAAGAAATGAAGAGCCCAAGCTTGAAAACCTTCTTCTTTTCTTTCTTTCCTTCCTTCCTTCTTTTCTTCTTTTTCCTTTCTTTTTCCCTTTCTTCTTCTCTTTTCTCGGTTTCTCCCTCTCTGCCTTCACTCCTGCGTGTATGTGTAATGTGAATTGAGAAATGGGTTGGAATAATCTAGATAATGGGCCATTTGCAAGAAAAGCCCCCAACTTCCAATAATGCATAAGTAAGTCCCCAATTTAATTTCTAATCCATTTAAAACCACAAGGAAATAATTTACTTCACTCAAGTCTTATTTGACCTTGACTTTGACAATTCAACCCATGACTTTGACTAATTAAAATTGAGTTGTGATAGATTTGTTCAAAGGCCAATCAAGCGAGAATCTCAAGTATGATACAGGAGTGGTAGTATAAAGTTTATGGATGCTGAAATGAGTCTGAAAGTTACGTAGTTCGACTCTAACAATACCTAGAGGGGGTGAATAGGTATATTACGCGGAATTAAAATTTTCAATTAATTAGCAACATGTCACCAATTAATTATCTATAGATGATTACATATGCAAGTCAATTTAACCTATATTTAAATATCGCAGTTAATATAATTAATAAGAAAAACAATAAAAACACACGGTATGATCACGAAGAAATCCCAACTGGATAAAAACTCCGGGCACTTTGCCGGTCAACAATTCACTATAAACGATTTGTAACTTACAGTTTACCAGACTAGACGACGACACGTACTATTTGATCTCCTGAATGCGATTCCGACAGCTCTCCTGGATTCTATGTTCCTACACCACTCCCAGCTGCAGTTTCCAAAGCTCTCTAGGATTGTGCTCTCCTACAGCAATTCCTAACTTTGTGAAATCGTTTATCTCCTATGGATCCACGAAGAACGCCGCGTTCTTCAAGGACTGGAACCCCAGTCAACTTCCCTCGATTTTCAACAACTCTGATAGATGAGGTGGAAAGAACAATTTGGTATTTGGATTACGAAATTGATATTTCTCTCACCAAAACAAACTCACAAGACGAAGGTTGAGAGTAGGAATATGTAGGAATTCTCTATGATGAATCTCTCTCAATGATCAACCTTATTTTTCACGTTTAAATGTGTTTTGATATTTATAAGTAGGTTAGAAAAGTAATAGGCCGGGGAAAAAGCCTTTAAATCACGAAATAAAAATTTCTCGGACAATACTACCGCTCAAGCGAGTGCTCAGCTATAGTCAAGCGATATGCTGTCGCTTGAGCTAAAGCAGGGCGACGTCGAGCAACGAAGGTTCTGTTTTTTACGCTCGAGTCAATCCATGGCGACACTCCAGCGAAAATTCGCGTCGTATTTTCCTTCTTTTACCATAATTAAACCCTAGACCTAAAAACCTATTTTTATATAATTGCACATTACTCCTTGATTTTTTACAATATTTACAAATAAGTCCATTTTGTTTACAGAATTGTCAATTACATAATTAGAAACCTAATAGAGCCTTGCTACACGTACAGGAAAAAAATTGATAAGCTTTGTACAGGTAACCAATTGTCCATTTCTCATTGGCACATGCAAAAAAAAAAAAAAAAAAAAACTGCCTATTATGGAAAGCAACACCTGTAGGCAATTTGGCAGGAAATACCCTTGATGAAATTCATATTCGAACTGCAACCAACGGTCAATTATGTTAGGAATTTTACTAGTTGCAATACAGTAAAGTGCAGAAATTAAAACTTATCGACTGATCGAGTCTCGTGACAGCATGATGTCCTAAAGCGAAATTGTCCATCGATAACTGCTGCGACCTCTGTGGACAATCACATTCAGGATACAACGATCAAATAAACCAATTGTGCAGCAATCACAAATGATTTTTAGAACTCTCAAATGTACTCCAGAAAATATGTAAAATAGAGTATTATATTTTTCTGAATATGAAAATACAATTCGTTTTTTGTTGTAGCTTTCTAATGCCCATATGGGTGTTTATATNGAATTTATGTAAACAAAGGAACTTACCAAATATATAATTAGAACATTTGTTCATTGTCCAAAAGAAAAAAACTGTTCCGGCGGATCCAGCACGGGCGGCCGCCGGGGCTCGCCGGGTGCTAGGTCCGCCACTGGGAACGACCCGCATACCGGCCTAGACCAGTTCGGGACTCAGCCCACCATATTTCTCTGCGGTCATTCCCAAGGTGGGACAGGCTTGTGGGATGAATGTATTACTGTATTGAAACCTGTTATATCCTACTTAGTACCAAGAGTGTTTACTGTATCAAGTCATACAATTGACAAAGAATTCTCTTCTATCAAGAAAGGAACCAACTTAGCTGCATGTAGCTTGTAAAGAACGTATTAATTGAGTCCTTACCGTGTCCACTTTCTTTTTCTAGAACAAGAGTCGAGTAATAACTTATCGAATCATCCTTGATCAAACTGTACCTTATTCTGAGTCATGTTACTGATTCTTCTGATTTTTGAGGTACAGAAGATGTATAGGAAGTATCGACCTTTCTAGAATTTGGCTGATGCTCTTTTTCGACCATCTAAATTGAATTTGTAGCTTTATTTTATTACTGAAGAAAAGTTCTCAGCTTTTTTCTTTTTTGGTGAATAGAAACTTGGACTAATCCTCTATTCATCCAAGGACAAGATTTTGATTAAGCTCAATGGCTGACAATTTTGGGCTAATTAACAAGACACATATCTTATATTTCACAAAACACCTGCTCAAATTCCACAAGAAAAGAGAAACAAAAGAAAGTTGAACAGATTATCTTTCGGAAAGACGAAAATAAAATCCCACTTTTTGTGATAGGAACTTTCTTTTGCCAAACATGCTCAAAGCATATTTCTTGAACACTTGACTGAAAAATCAATATATTCTCGTGCTACTGTTCAATTTTAAGCGGTAGCACTTTTCTCCTTGGGTGTTGACATTTTGTAATGTTCTACGAGCTTCTGAGCTTCCGGCAGAACATCCTTAACAGCATTGTCTGAACATAATCTCTCAGCCCATCCCACCAAGCCAGGAGTCTTAGTTTCATCAAGCCACTTTACACCAGTCATTATCTCTGTAGCCTTAACCCATCCCAAGTAGCAACCTAGTGCAATATCAAGGTAACCAACATTTTCTTCACCAAAGAAACCTTTTCCTTTGCTACACTTATCAAAAGCCTCCTCTAACAAAGCCAACCCTTCGAAAATCTTCTCCATAATTGAAGTTCTTGCCTCGTCTCCGTGTGCCGCTCCTAGCTCCTTCAACAATGGAAACCACTGGAACCATTTCAAGAATGTTTAATTACAACCATGAAGAAGAAAATAAATAAAGTAAGTTCTCTTTACATTCATTCAAATTTTCGAATACAAACAGATTACAGACTGCACTGTTTTGTCTATGTTTCTTGACTCTGAAAACACAAAAGCAGAAACAAACTGAAGTCCTTTTTCCCAGAAATTTAAAGTCAGCTACATGAATTCTTATCCGCTACTTGTATTGGTGGCTTCCATCTTGAAACATCAACCTTCTTAAATGGAGTAGTTCAAGTCCTCATATTTTATTTATTTTCTTGTTAGAATTTGGGTTTGATCCGAATTCCGAGTATTAAAAAATTCTAATTGTAGTAAACATCAAGAAGAATTCAATTTTGGAATGCTATTGGAGTCTTATATTAAGTTGAAGTTCTATTTTGGAAGCCCATTAGAAGTTGAAAATTGATATTAGATTTGAAGAAGAGTTTGGAATGGAGAAAAACACTTTGAAAGCATGTTTTGGAATATTAACCCTTAAACATAGTGCGAACGCTGCTACAGTAGCGCCTGAGCTCTAGATGCAGAGCCTGAGCGTTGCTACAGTAACCTGTTTCGAGATTTTTCCATTTTTTGTTTCTTACTTCGTTTTGGACTCATATTATGGGCATTCTACTTCATCAGCAACTCTATCAAGAGGGTTTGGACGTCTCCTATATATTCCCTATAAATACTTGGAGATTCCATACAATTTAGTAACACAATTACATGTGAGAAAATAGATTACTAGAATTATAGGATCATTGTAATATTTTTCTCTTTTCTCCATTACTCTTGATGCAATAAAATCTCCTAATTTCTCTACCATATTCTTGTCTTCTTTTATTATTTTGTACTTGATCAAATACTTTATTACTTTGCCATATAACTTCAACATCTCAATCCGGTGATTGGTGTCATAACAAGTGATATCAATCCTCACAAGTGGTATTAGAGCCCAGTTTCAGCAATTCTGCATTGCTAGGGTTTTTTTATTGGTTTGAAGTTTTTGTTTGTGATGGCTACTATAAAATATGACATTCCGTTTTTGAATCGAAACACTAAATTTTCGCTATGACAGGTTAAGGCGTGCAGTACTCGCACAGTTGGATTTAGATGATGCGTTGCTGGGTATTGACAGGATGCCAGCAACTTTGACCGCAGAAGAGAAATTACGGAAGGATAAAAAGGTAATTTCTTACATTCATCCTCATCTATCAAATTCCATTCTTCAGGACGTTTTGAATGAGAGGTTAGCAGCTGCTTTGCGGTTGAAGTTGTAGCAATTATGCATAACCAAGAGTCTTACAGGCAAATTGCATCTCAAGCAGCGGTTATACTCTCATCGCATGATAGAAGGAGGATCATTGGAAGATCACTTGGCTACATTTAAGGAGATCGTCGCTGATTTAGAAACATTGGAAGTTCAGAATAATGAAGAAGATTTGGCATCGATCCTATTATGTTCGTTGCCCATTTCGCTTCCTTCATTTAAAGATATGATATTATATAGTCACGATACTCTCACCATTGAGGAGGTTTATAATGCTTTGTTTTCAAAAGAGAAGATGAGGCATCTTGTTTCTGAGGCTAGAAATGGAGCTGGTCTTGTTGCTCATGGTGTTTCTGGAAGGGGCAGATCGAAGTCTAAATTCAGTAATCAAATTTGTAACTACTACAAGAAGAAAGGGCACTTGAAGAAGGATTGCTACAAGTTTCAGAATAAAGAAAAGATGGATGCAAGTAGACATTTAAATACTTCAGGCGAAGCAGACATCGTGGAGAACGATGGAGAGCTCTTAGCTACTTTTGACATTGAGTCTAAACCGGAAGATGATTTGATTCTTGATTCAACATGTGTGTTTCATATGTATCCTAATAAGGACTCGTTTGCTACATATGAAATTGTTTCCAAAGGTGTCGTGGTTATGAGAAACAACGCATCTTATTGGGTTGTTGGAATTGGTACAGTCAGATTGAAGCTTTTGGATGGGACAATTAGAACACTTAGCTAGATTCGACATGTTCCAGAATTGAAGAAAAATCTCATCTCATTATCTATCTTTGATTCAAAAGGTTATGAGTTCTTTTGTGGAGGTGGAGATTTGAAGGTTTGTAAGGGTGCCCAGGTTATATTGGAGAGACAGAAAATGTCTCAGTTATACATCGGCATGGTCGTGCAGAATTTGGAAGAGTCAATCAGCACAGGTTCAGTACCGTGGTGGACATTCAGTTTGGTATAATACCTTTAGGTGCTCGTAAACGGTTAGATTTGAAAAATACAACTCAGTGGAGTTTTGAAGACATGGATAATACCGTTTTGCCACCATCACCTGCGGTGCCATTGTATTCAGTTGATAGAGTTAGACCCAGTGGAACAAGGTATGTGGATGTTGATTTTGTTGAGCATGGTTTAAGTTGAGTAGAATGTGTACAATCTAGCAATGAGCCTTCTGTAAAAGCATTTGGTATTGACCTGCGGTGCCATTGTATTTAGTTGATAGAGTTAGACCTAGTGGAACAAGGTATGTGGATGTTGATTTTGTTGAGCATGGTTTAAGTTGAGTAGAATGTGTACAATCTAGCAATGAGCCTTCTGTAAAAGCATTTGGTATTGATTCTGCTTTAGAGTGTGTTACCGCCCATTTTGGTAAATTATAAAATCATTATGATTTTTTGGAATCTGAGTTAAATCTGTAGAGTAGTGCTTGGATTCATTAGAAGAGTTGGAGTATTTTGTGTTTGGTTGGAGAAATTAATTTTTTTATTATTGTTGAAGAAGTCAATTCATTTCTTGGTGAAATTCGTAACAAGGTGGAGATTGTTAGAATTTAGGTTTGACCTGAATTCCTTGTTTGAAATATTAAAGAATTGTAATTGTAGTGAATATCAAGAAGAATTCAATTTTGGAATGCTATTGGAATCCTATATCAAGTTAAAATTCTATTTTGGAAGCCCATTGGGAGTTGGAAATTGATATTAGATTTGAAAAAAAGTTTGGAATGGAAAAAAACACTTTGAAAGCATGTTTTGAAATATTAACCCGAAACCTAGCGCTTGAGCGCTGCTACAGTAATCTGTTTCGGAATTTTTCCCTTTTTTGTTTCCTACTTCTTTTTGAACTCGTATTTTGGGCATTTTACTTCATCAGTAACTCTATCAAGAGAGTTTGGACATTCTCTACATATTCCCTGTAAATACTTGGCTCTTCTATACAATTTAGTAACACAATGACATGTGAGAAAATAGATTACTAGAATTATATGATCTATTATAATTTTCTCTCTTCTCCATTATTCTTGGTACAATAAAATCTCTTAATTCCTCTGTCATATTATTGTCTTCTTTTATTCTTTTACTTGATCATATACTTCATTATTATTTTTCATATAACTTCAACATCTCAATCTGGTGATTGGTGTCACAACAAGTTGTATCAATCCTAACACTAATAATGAAACGAAATGGAAAGGGACGGGAGTCACTGGAATACACTATCCATCCTAATTTGCCCCTTAAGCTGCTGGGCTTTTAATAAATAGATCTAGTTTAAGCCCAAATTAGAAATCTAGCTACCTCCCAATCTGACTTCCTTATTTTTTTTGTCGATCTACCTTCCAAGCAAGGGCGGCCGCGCTGGCTCGTCAGGTGCTACTCTGCTACTGATTATGTAATGTCACATGTCAACTCTACCATTTTTCAATTTCAAATACAGTCAACTTTTATATCCAATCTTCTCTCTCTATATCATTTTATGTAATCCTCGATATACTATTTTTTATGTTCAAATAGCATAATTCATTTTTTTCTATGGAATTCTATTCTTCTGTCAAACATCAATGTTTCACGTTCTTACTACAACCTGTAATATAAATAATTCATGTACTCTTGTATTCCTACACTACCTTAAAAGAGATAATCAGCTAGTTACTATTCATTCTGGTGGATGAAATTTCACACGTATTTTTCTCGAACTGGTTCTCCACTACTCATTGGTTTCTAACTGTTCACAAGTGAATAAGATATCTTGCATACCCTTTCCATTTCCTTTCACTTTCACCATGGGTGTTAACGAGCAGAAACTCAAAGCTCGGGCTTGGCTCGAGCAAAAATGATTCTGGCTTTTTTTAGCCCGACCTTTGCTCGGCCAAAAATTTTAGGCTTGACCCGAGCTTTCAGCTTGGGCCGAGCCGACTCGTTTTTTTTTTCTTCATAACAAATCTAAATTGTTTTTAAAAAAATTAAAATTTGTGCAATTTATACGTATTATAAATTAAATAAAAGTTACAATACTCCTTTTTTCAGGTTTGGGACATGCTACAATCATCTTAGGCGAAGTTAAAATTGTAAATGAATAAAATATTTCGTGTACAATTTTTCTTAAAACAAAGAAATTTAAAAATTACGTATTTTTTTAAACTGATCAGTTTAAAAATTTACAATAACCTATCATTAGATCTACTACAATTTTTGCCCATTATACTGTTGATTTGTTTTTGAATACGTAATTACGCACANAAAACTTGAATCTACGAATTCTATTATTTGATTTATTAGAATATTAATTCAATTAAATAATAGATATTGCCATACATATGCATTGATTATATATATTCAAAATGTTTATATCCAAAGTTGATTAGACCAAGGGCATAACACTTACATCTACTACAGAAAGCTTTACAAGATCTAAAGCAACTAGATCTTTAACAACTGCTATATACTCAATATGAAATGATTAAAATAAAAATACGAATTGTACCTTATCATCGATATAGGCAGCCCAGAAACGGGCTATGGCCCGATCATACGGATCGGTCGGGAGGATGGAAGGACCACTAATCCAGGTATCTTCAATGTATTGAATAATGATAAGAGACTCGCAGATAGGCTTGTCATCATGGATAAAAACTGGGACTTTTTTGTGAACTGGATTTGTCTTGAGGAGGAGTTCACTTTTGTTTTGCAGATTCTCTTGAATGAACTCAAATTCAACAGATTTCAGCTTAAGGGCCATTTGAACCCTGGTTGTAAATGGGCTTGCCCACAATCCTAAAAGCTTTGCATCACTTGTTGACATATCCAATTCTCAAAAGCTAGAAAGTTTCAGTAATTCTGAAAATAAGCTAGATTTTATGTATGAAAACTAGTTTTCTTGATGTTAATGAATGATATCTGATCTTTAATTAATAGCATACTGCAAAATGGTATGGACCGAGTATAGGTAAATTATTGTGGCTTTTTTTATTTTAGTGCTGATATAGAAAAAAGTTGACTTTCCTGCTGGTAATGAAGCATAAAAGATATATTATAATACCATTGAGATCATTTGTGATCTACATTTCTATTCAACATGATCTCAGGCACAGATGCTGGTAAGCAACCAAAATTCATCTCTCACGCGTGTAATTAAACAAAGCCAATTGGTTCCAGCAGCTTAAGTGTATGGAGTGGACACGGAAACTAGTTTTATTTTCAATAATTTTGAGGTTGTTTATACAATTCTTCTTTATTACTTGGTTCAATTCATTGCGACATCTACTCAAAGTCAAAAGCAACTAGATCCTCTAGGAACCACAAGGGATCAGGTTAGGAGCAGCCCTTGCATTTTAGTAAAACATGTCTCGACCATATAAGTCGTCATTTCCTTAATTTATTATTAATTGTAGTCAATGCTACTTATCATGTCACTCGGGCTGGGTCAGTCGCATAGTGATCCAGAATAGCCCGCTTACAGGCCTGAACCAACCAAGGACCTGGCCCACCACATTTCTCTGTGGCCCATTTCAAAGTGGGACAGGCAGTGAGCCTGGCAGAGACAGGCTCACTGCCTAGGGGACAAATGTATAATATTTTTCTAAAAACCTTTTTCAGACCGGTTCCAGTATTCTCAGGAGGGTCAGTCCCGATCCCTTGCAGCGCCGCACATTTTGGCACCCGCGTGGGCGGGGGGGGGGGGGGGGGGGGTGNGGGGGGGGGGGGGGGGGGGGGGGGGTGCTGTATGTATCTGTATTGGAGCACAATTTTTGCTGAAATTGATGCTACAAATTTTCTGATAATTCTGAAATCTTAGCACTAAGGTGTTCTAGAACTCAGCTATAAACTCTCTCTTTCTAATTGAATTATGAATGTTAAACCATAAAATAAAAATAAAAAATCCAAACTGAGTAACTTCGCCAAATAGCTTGCAAATTTTGGTGCATCAACTGTTGTTGATGACACAAGCTTATTATTGGACTAGTCCTCTGTTCATACTTGCATACAAGGACAAGATTTTGATAATGTGACAAATAATAGAAACCTTAAATTTTGCAAAGGTCCCGCTCAAGTTCTACAAGATAATATCTCACACTATAGGATTCTCAGAGCACGTCTTGAGAGCACGAACCAATGTCTTCCCACGATATAGTTCAGTAGTAGGCATTTTCAATCTGAAGCAGCTTCTCCCTTGGCTTTGGACTTTTTTTTTAAGTTCTACAAGTTTCTGTGGTTCTGGCAGAACATCCTTAACAGCAATGTCTAAACAAACCCTTTCAGCTTATCCCACCAAGCCAGGAGGGTCTTGGTTTAATCAAGCCATTTTATACCTTTCATTATCTCTTTAGCCTTCACTCATCCCATCCCATCCCAGGTAGCATCCTGGTACAACAACTATATACGAATTGTAGGAAGTGTTGTTCAGCCCAGTTCTGTCAGCCCAATTGCTCTTAAGTAAATGTGACACGGGAAGCCCATTACTGTTCAGTCTCACGTTTTTGATAAAACACGCTTTTTGGTTGTTGAAAGATTGTCTGAGATTGTGACACGTGCTGCTGGCACAACCGTTAGATGCATGGTGACTTTATAATTCTCCAGATATTTCTATTTTGACTGGACCATTCATTTCTCTTCTAGGGTTTTCTCTCCTTCGACTTTTGCTCTGTATTTTCTCTCTACTGAAATGGTGTTCAGTCTGTAATAGTTTAGGATAGATGATCTGTGTGATATCTAGTGTTGATTACAGTTGTTCTAGTTGTATTTCTTCTAATTTTTGGTGAGTTGAAGTGTTGATTACTTGGTGTAATCTGAAATAGGAGAGTTTTATGTCTGAGGGTTGAATCGAAACATTCTTGGGTCTCTTATTCTTGTATATTGATAACGTTCTTCGATTCTAGTGGATTAGAGCGTTTTTCACTTAGGTGAATGCTCAACGGGTGAGTAGCCAATTTTTGGTGAACATTCGGGCCTGCAGGCGAAAAATCTTTGTGTTCTTTGTTGTTCTTGTTATTTTTGGTACTATTGGGACTGTAAAATATCAACAGCACAATGTCAATATACCCAACATTATCTCTACCAAAGAAGGCTTCTTCTTTGATACACTTGACAAAAGTCCCCTCTAACAAAACCAACCTTGAAATCTTCTCCAAAATTGAAGCTCTTGCTACGTCTCCCCCTGCCATTGCAAGCTTCCTGTGCAATGCAAACCACTGGTAACATTTCAAGAATATTAGATTACTACCATGTGAAAGAAAATAGAAAATATTACATTCATTATAGAGATTTTAATGAGAATGGGGCAGCATTAGTTCCACTGTGCCTCTTGACTGTGAAAAGAATACGACATCAAAAACTAAACCCCTTTCCAAATAAATAGGGTGGGATATAAGAATCTTTTTCCTCTACTCTGTTTGAAGATATCAATATGTTTCATTGACTTAATCGTGTGGGTTGGAAAAATGTGTTCATCGACATATTTTTTACTTAACTGATGTTAATTATTTATTGATTGGCTTTCATATTTCATGAATTTTTATGGTCGAGCTGTATTATATGAGTTTGATTGAGCTATATTTGGATGGATAAAGTGTTGAGAGTTCTAAGTTTCGTTTTAGTGAAGTGCAAATTCAAGTTTGAACTTACGTGTTAACATAATCGAACAAAACTGAAAACTCTATAACTCGGGTTTTTTGTTTAAATTTTATATGTTGTACAAGTATTACAACACAATGTGATTATTAGTGGACCATTGTGATTATCTTGCGTCGTGTAACATATTTGAGCAATTTCTACATTTGTTGGACACTTTGAAAATAGTAAACTATAAGGAGTTCTAATTAAATAACACTATCTTATTGGCTTTCTTAATAAATTTAGGAGTATGTTTGAAAGTCAAATTGAAGCGGGATAAGTTGGTCATTAGATAACAAAGTTAGTTTTGCACGTTTAAATGAAACCTGGACGGAGTCGAGAGTTCTTTGCTTTATTCTCATTCCAACCTTGCTACATTATCAGACATATTTGTCACATTCCTTGACAGAGACTAATTTTCAAAAAAAGACAGTTTTTGTACCAATCACTTGTTGCCACACCTTCATCTATCATCCAGGATGTCAAATTCATCTGGCAAAGTGGCATTATTCTTCTCATTGAAATCAAAACTTTGAATTGCTTATCTGATTTGCAATAGTATATGACATTTGACTTGTATATGTTGAGACTCTTCAAATATTGAAAGATGATTCTTATCTAATTGTACAAGTTCAGGTTTACTCTATTTGTAGGAAGGTATTAATGATATTTGGACTCTTCTTCTATAACTAGTTTGTGTCCGTGCGATGC